AAATTTGTTGCTTGGAACAGTGGGTACTTTTAGGTTTGACATTTGGTGAGTGTTATAATTTATGCAAATAAGTTTGATGAATTTGAGTGGTGCATCATAAAAGAAAAAGAGTGCTATTCACACTTTTTTTTTTTTTACTTCTCGCACATTATTGTTAAGTTTTTATCATTGATCTTCTTCAATTCATTCGATTTGATGACAAAAAATTATGAGGAGTGTTGTGAGAGGTAAAAATGAGTGTGTGGACAGTATTACCAAAAAAAAATATTTTTTTTGTTATTCAAATCCAATCATCCGAACAGAACCACACATTAAGCGTTTTTCTCCAAGCAGTATTTAGAATATCGATGTAGGTGGAAATGTCGATATGCAAATTATAGAATATTAGTTGTCTTCGACGAAAATTATAGAAATTTGCAACGGGGGTTTGCATCAACTCATTCAAAGTTAGTCAAAATTAGAGAAAAAATTCTCAATTTTTTTTTGTAAAGGTTCAAAAACTGCAATGGGTTTTGACAAAACTTTTGTAATAAATTGGTAAATATAGTCTATTTTCATTGATTTTTGTATATCTCGTTGATACAAGGTAAAGTTTGCATTTCACCTCTTTCCATATTGATATTTGATTTTTCAGATATTTCAACAAAAATATCAATAATTTTACGAATATTATAAATACTATCTCTAATACAGTCTTATCTGGATACTTATTAGATATGAGTATCTGATGGACGTGCACAATACAAGTCAGTTGACTGGTCGCTCAACTCACATAACATACTTTCACTTGCTGGGTTTCGAGTGCCAGTCTTGGAGTCTTGGACTTTTCGCATCAGGCTTACGCATTCATCCCGTCATTTCAAAACAAATCATAAATTCAACCCTAAAAAGTGGTTGACATAGTATGTGGTATTACCGTACTACGTACTAGTCTATTAGTAGTAGCTCAATCAAACACCAACAAAGAGTGTGAATTCAGACATCATGGCAAGCTCTCAGTGCTGCTCAAACCCTCTGACCCTGAACCCCTCCAGCGGCACCGGCCATGTCGAAAACCTCGGCAGTCTCGACTCCTATGTCACTGGCTCCCATCACTCCAACCTTGCCGTTCTCCTCGTCTCTGACATTCATGGTAACGTCTTGATACTGTAGCTTATGTGATGTTCAATTCTGTGAAGAAAGTGTGTGTTTTGTATTACTGCTTTGTCATGTTGAATGTTTGCTTTGTCATTCAGGATTTGAAGCTCCAAAATTGAGGTATGATGACTTTTCGCTTTCAGATATTGACTCGGGCTCATCAGTTACACTTGCTGCTTAAATTTGATGAGCAATTTAGATTGTTCACTCTATGATCTTTACAAGGATAAAACTTCACTTGCCAGTTACAGTTACCGATATCAGATATTTTCATCACAGAACAACAGTGTTGAATATCACCGTATAGGTCGTTGTTTCCATAATATCTTGTTTCCTTTAACTAATGCCACCTGCCTTCCAGTGTGAAGGAAGCTTGCTGACAAAGTAGCAGCTGCTGGGTTCGTCGTTGTCGTCCCCGATTTTTTTTACAAAGACCCTTATGCACCTGAAGATGCCAATAGACCATTTGATGTTTGGAAAATTGATCATCATCCGGTTGGCTCTTTTGCTATTATGTATACTTTTATGCATCTCTCTTTTGTTTCTTTAACGATCGAAGTACTTTTACAAGTCTCTGTATGCAATTTTAGATGCTTATGTGTGTGGGTTCAGCTGGGCAGTCCCATGAATGTTATTGTGTTAAAACTTTTTATGGTTGTTCACTACTAGCCTACTAGGCTGATTCCACCTTTTGTGACAATGGTTAAATTACGAGTCCCAGGCATTGGGGTGCTATCAAAAAATTTCTGCAATTTCGATATGTTCAAGTATTGTTAGCTTCTGAATCTTGTTTTGGGATTGATAGGACAAGGGATTTGAGGCTGCAAAGCCAGTTCTTGAACCTTTAAAAAGTAAAGGTGTTTCTGCAATCGGTGCTGCAGGCTTCTGTTGGGGAGGTGACTTCACTTTCCTTTCTCGTTAAGATCTTTGTTGCTCCATTTCATTTTTGTTGCACTGAAATAGAGCAACAGAAAAGTTTCTCATTTAGACATTTGGATAATGTTAGGCGATGTTTTACTTATCACTCTTGTTTGGTCGACATTGAAAAATTTGCGCTGTTTTCAGCCAAGGTTGTGGTTGAACTTGCAAAGCACCCGTTAATTCAAGCTGCTGCTCTGTGTCATCCTGCAGTAGTCACAGTGGATGATTTCAAGGGTAAGATATCGGTATTAATATTCAGGAAATATCTCTTTAAGATACCATTATTAGCACAAAAAATTAGTCGCACACTCACTTTATGATCTATTCCTGTTATTACTTTCATAGGTTAAGGTTCCTATTTCTATACTTTGAGCTGAGATTGATCAATGTGTCTGCCTGAAGTCGTGAAGCAGTTTGAAGAGGTTTTAACTGCAAAACCTGAGGTAGGAATGTCGTTCATCTGACCAGTCTTCAATACTTTGTGCCTTTGATAGTTTGTTTATTCTTATCACGGACATTCCTCAACTTGAGATGCCCGACGAACTTTGTCTATCACATTGTGAAATATAATTGTGCATGGCTTACAGTTATAGGTAACCTGCCCTTGCAAAAACGACTTGTAAGGGAAGGGTGCCAGAGAGCTTATATGCTACGCTTAGATTCTAATTTAATTTCCAATCACGGTCATATACCGTTTTGTATGAAATTCAAAAACATTTTATTTTTGTTCTTTTTGAAGAAATGATAGGACAACACCAGAAACACCCCCTTCACATTAGGGTTCACCACTGCGGTAGCTTGTGGTACTAAACTTTTGAAGTTTGTTGAAACGATTGTTGGTTTTGTGGAATCACAGGTTAAGGGCCATGTTAAGATATTCCCGAAAGTGGCACATGGATGGACGGTGAGGTACAATGTTGAAGACAAAGCAGCTTGTAAAGCTGCCGAGGAGGCTCATCAAGACTTGTTAGAGTGGTTCTTGAACCATGTCAAGTGACTGGCATCATCACTGTAGCGGTTTTCCTTATCTTATCAGCTGCTTTCTATTGGTAGTGGTAAAACAGTTCCTCTGGAGTTTTATTAAACAATGCCTCCGGAGTTTTATGTACTAGTATTTGTTTGTAAACTTTCGTAGTTTGAACTGCCGGTCTCCTCCGTGTAACCCGGAAGAACCCACAACACCACTTTGGTGTATAAATGAAGTACTAGTTGGAGATGCCCTATGGGTTATGCCGCCACCAAAAATGAGAGTTTTATAAACGTCATAATTTTGTTTCCGATACTTGATAGCCATTTTGGTTTTAGTTGTAGTTTTCACTTTTTGTTAGGAACGAGGGGAAGTACAAAGGAGAAAAGAGGGATGAGCAGAGGTAAACGAATGTTGGTGGAACTGGAAGAAATGTGCACGGAAGATAGCTCAAATTTGGTTTTTCTTTCCTAGTTTTGGTTTCCTACATTCTTCATCGTTTCCCCTTCCATCCTCTCTCTCCATCCTCATCCACGATTCAAATGACCACGTCCACGTTCACGTTCCAGTTTGAACCCCAATTCCGATTCAAATGACCACGACCGTGCGAGAAACCAGAAAGTTGTGAACCAGAAGTACTATCCTTAACATTTGGACAAGCAGATTTCTGAGTCATCATAGCAGTGAACATAGAAGCAGTGTCAAGATCATTTTCTTCTTCAAGTAATAAATCTCTCAGCTCAATAAGAGCGATACGAATTGGTCTTGCACGAATGTGAGATTGGAAGAAGTTATATTCAATGGCCAACCCTTTTAAAATTAATGACGATGACCATGTCTTGATAGGAAATTGTTTCACCAACAGCAGCAAGTTGTTGTCTCAAAGCTCGAACACGCTTCCAGCACACATCAATGGACTCAGTGCCTTCCTGCATTGCACACAAATTATTCTTCAGGTGCCATAGACATGCTTGGATATTCTACCTTCTTAATGCCGCTATGTTTCTTCAATGTTTTGCGTTATGCATTTGGAACGACTGTTGGTTTTATGGAATTGGAGATAGCCGTGTGAAGATTTTCCTGAAAGTGGAACACGAGGTAAGACGTGATGATGAAGCAGCTTGTAAGGTTGCCGAGGAGGCTAATCAAGACTTGTTGGAGTGGTTCTTGAACCATGTTAAGTGAATGGTATTGGCATCACTGTGAAGCGTTTTATCGTCACTAAAAGACGAGATTAATTTGAACCTTATCACATCAACTACATTCTATTTACTATGAATCAGAAGAATGCCTGCACTTTTATAGTACCCATATTTGTATGTAAAATTTGTTGCTTAGAAGAGTAGAGGTTTAACAACAATGTGGTGCTTTTAGGTTGGCATTTTGTGAGTGGTATAAATCATGTTAATAGGTTTGATGAAGTTGATTAGTGCATTTTAAAAAAATTTCTTTTGTATTCTAAATCGAACGAAACTACAGATCAAACGGTTTTCTCTCTCTAATACGGTCATTTTTGGATAGTTGTATAGTGTGAGTAACTAATCGATATGCACAATACAGTCTTTTCTGAAGAGTTGTGGAGTGTATGTAACTAATCAACATGCACAACTGTAATTTACTTTGAAGTTTTGAACCATAACATACTTTCACAAATAACCAACGAGGTGTAAACGGTTTGGAGTGCCAGTCTTGGAATCTTGGACTGCGGCTAATAGTTATTCTCCTCAAACTTTTCGCATTAGGCCTACGTCATTCATCCCGTCACTTCAAAAGTAAACAATTCAGCAAACAACGTCCAAACTCATATATCGGAGCATTGACTTTCCAATTTGCCAACAAAATATCAAATTCTGACATATTTGCTGACCATTTCCAAACTTTCATATTTTTTTATTGGCCGGAGAATGATTTCCCCTCTATAAATATAGCCTCTGCTGTTCTAGCTCAATCAAACACTGGCAAAGAGTGGTTGTGTTTGTGAATTCGGAGGAAAAAAAAAAGAAAAGAATCATGGCAAGCTCTGAGTGCTGCTCAAACCCACCAGCCCTGAACCCGTCCAGCGGCTCCGGCCACGTCGAAAAGCTCGGCGGTTTCGATTCCTATGTCACTGGCTCCCCTGACTCCAAGCTTGCCGTTCTTCTCGTCCATGACGCTTTTGGTACCTTACCCACCACTCCAAAAGTCTTTCTTTTTTCTACTTGTTTCAAAAGCTTGCATTTTTTGTTCAGTTTGTGATTTGGGTTTGTGGGTTTGAGTGGTCTGTGTGTGTTTTTAGCTTAATGGGAACTGGTTTTTAGCTTGTGTAAATTTATGGGTGCAAGAATCTCCATATCGGAAAATTGACAAATTATAACTTATATCGAGTGGTTCTACTTCTAATTATATCGAGGTCTTGTAGTGGAAAGCTGGCCTGTATTTCTGAAATCTTTGACACTGTTGCATATGTTTGATTAATTGATGAAGCAATCAGATCTGGCATTTTCCTTTTCCTTTTGGCTTTGTGGGTGCTGTGCATATGTTTGATTAACTGAGCAACTACCCCATTTTCTGTTTTTTCTTTCTTCTGTTTTTGCATGATTGTTGTTCTTTCTTTTCCCGTTTGCTTCCAATTGGGAATTCGAATAGCATAATTGATTTTCGATCATTCAAACCATATGCCTCTCTCTCTATTGTACAGTTGCTTTCTGTGATGTTCTATCACCAAACCACTTGTTAATGTTACATGTTTTTGCCATGCAGGATATGAAGCTCCAAAGGCTAGGTACGACTGATTCCCACATCTGATAGATGAGTTCTCAGAAATCGATCGCTTTTCTTGGATTTTAAATAACACTTTCTGATTAAATTGATGACTTGGTGAACATTTTGAAATTATTTACTCAGAAGTACAATCCTTGAGGAAAAAATGGTTATGATTGGTCTATGTAAAGAGAATCACTAGTTTTGAAGAATAGTTCAGAATCAGGTTGTTTACCATATACCTGTCGAACTTCACACTTTTCTCTAATGCCCTCTCGTTACGCTTAAAAGTTCCACACCTGTATTTTTTGTGTCAACTCTTTACAATAACAATGCATAGTTGGTCCTTCTAGTTTCCTGACATCAGAATTTTTTTGTTTGAAGAAACAGTTGTGACATTTACCTGAATCACTATTAAGTTTGCAAGATTGCAAAGTGCCCTATACCCTTAAACTAATGCCACCCGTCTCTTGTAAAGGATGCTTGCAGACAAAATTGCAGCTGCTGGGTTCATTGTTGTGCTCCCGGACTTCTTCAATCGAGACCCTTTTAATGGGGACCTTGCCTCTCTACCGGTTTGGATAAAAGCTCATGCACCGGTTGGTTCTTTTTGTTTTGATGCAGATCTCTAAGTATTTTGTTTATCTGTAATTTAAGTACTCTCACAAGTATCTGTGTGTGATTCGTGAATTTTACGTACAACTTGGGGGACATTTTCATTTCAGCTTAGCATCCCAGTATTGTTGTTGTTTTGAGCTTCATATGGTCTTGAACTCTTGGATGTTTCCACCTATTGAGACTAGTGTGACAAAAAATACAAGGACCTTATATAGTGGTGTTTTAAAAGTTGATATGGACTTGTCGAGCGTACGAGTGCCGCTAAAACTGAGGTTATGAGCTCTTGTTTTCGTATCTACAGGACAAAACAATCGAAGATGCAAAACTGGTAATTGAAGCTTTAAAAAGTAAAGGTGTTTCTGCAGTTGGTGCTGTAGGCTTCTGTTGGGGCGGTGAGTTCATTTTCCTGCTCTCCGTTATGTATATCTATTTCCTTGTTTATTAGTACTATTCCAGTTTAACAATGTCTCGTAGGAGGAAGTGCTTATTTTCCTGCTCAGTTCATTATGGCATAGGTCGTTTCACATGACATTGAATTATTTGTGCTGTTTTTAGGCAAGGGTGTCGTTGAACTTGCGAAGCATGACTTTATCCAAGCCGCTGTTTTGTGTCATCCTTCATTTGTCACTCTGGATGATATCAAGGGTAAGATTTCTGTATTTACAGCCAAAATGTTTCTCCGCACCCACTTCTCTCTATTCCTACTAGCAAAATTTGAAAACGATAACAAACCTGTGTTGCGCGATGGCTGCACAAACCTGTGTTGCGCGATGGCTGCGCAACCCTGACCGCCACATCTGCTCATGGCTGCAAAAAGAAACAAAATGTGGTATTACAATTCTTTCAAAAAAGAACAAAAGTATTGTGTGTTGATTATTGATCTGTTCCCGGTATTACTTTCAGCGGTTAAGGTTCCGATTTCTGTACTTGGAGCTGAGATTGATCAGCTGACTCCACCCGAAGTCGTCAAACAATTTGAAGAGGTTTTAACTGCAAAACCTGAGGTAGGAATATCCTTCAATGATTTTGGTTGTGATCAATGCACATTCCTTGTAAGTGACTGTCTGCATAATGGAATCACAGATTAAAAGCCATGTGAAGATATTCCCGAAGCTCGTACATGGGTGGACGTTGAGGTACAACGATGAAGACGCGGCGGCTGTCAAGGCAGCTGAGGAGGCTCATCAAGACTTGTTGGGGTGGTTCTTGGAGCATATCAAGTGACGGGCACCATATATCACTGCTGAAGTGTTTTGTTGTCACTTAGGAAGACAGTTTGGAGTACCTTAAATTCTCTTATATGTTGTTTTTTATTTGGAAGCGGTGGATTGCCCCGGTGACTCGGGCATTCCTCTTTGACCCGCTACATCCAGTGTTCAAACCCTCCTCTCCTCTTAATGTAGATTATCGTTTGTACTCAATTGCTTTTTATCTATTTAATTTATCTGTAATGTTACTTGCTTGGAATAAAGAACAACAATTAAGGTACCTAAAGTTCAAATTTTAAATGTAGACTTCATCGTTTTATGCCTTGGGAAAGTCCCATTGTCCTTTGTGTAATCTTCTTGATGAGACTATTTCTAGCTTACTTTTGAGTTGCCATGTTAGCTGTCATGTTTGGAATAAAAAGGTAATACTAGTCACTTTTGAATCAGACATTGTCCTCCACATCACAGTTTTGATTTGTTTCAAGTGCCAAGGTTTAAATTGAAATTTTATTTCGATTCTATTTGCGGTGCGCGCGGATAGTTTTGTTTTGGTTGATCCAATACTATCGTATAACGGTTTTTATAGAATAATGGGGTACTGTATATCCACTGCCAAATGTGCTGCTGAATCAACATGGCTTACAAGCACATAGCTCCGAAAGAACCATTCGATCAACTCGATCATTCCATTTGATGACAACATAACTTCCACAAAGTGTGGTGCTGTTTGGACCCAAAATAACAGTTTTGGGTCGAGGATTATTATGGGCTCGGGCCTATTATGTAAGATGATGGGAATCTTAGAATATTCCCAGAGAAGGCCCAGCCCAGTAAGGTTCGGCCAAATCCTATCAGAAAACAATCTTATTTGGATAGGAGGTCTAACCGAATCCTGATATAACAAGGAGTCCTTGGATGCCTATTATGTTTGAATAAAGAAAGGTGCCGAGAATCAAGGGTTTGAATCTGAAGGATAATATGGTTGGATTTAGAGTCCTACATGAATTAAGACTAGCCGAAGCCCATTCGGATTTGATCAAGGAATTATAGTCCGAGTGGAACTCTACTTCGGCATGTGGGTATTACTACTATAAATAGAGAGGGGAGTGCATCATTCAAGGCCCATCTAAATCAACACACAAATATGCCATGCACAAATTCTCGCTCTATGCGAAATCTCTCAAACATCTTAAGATCTTTTCATTTTACCCTTTTTCTGCCAACATATCTTCAATTTGGATAAACAACACTGTGTTGGTAACTGGCAACATCTTCAGTTTGGATAAAAAACACTGCTTCAAGACCGACTGGTTATCTATCCAAGTCTCGGTCAGTAAGGATTTCCTGAGTCCTTGTTGGAAGATGTCATATTATTAGCCTTCTCGGCAAAGTAAAGTGTTACCAAGTTGCTTAATATTCGGAATACTGAAAGCTGAATTTGATATTTTATGATTGGATACTCATAAGTGTATGTCAGAATTCGACACATAGACGGCCGAACCGTATTTACAATCAAGACACACATTTCTTTCGAGTACTTGTGTCCCTACAGTCTGGTATTGATTCGGCACGCTTATATTCTCATGAATATAATTACAGTCGCCGAATCTGGTGCCGACGATTCATGAACTTTGTATAACTAGCAGCCTTGTCTTCAAGCTCTAAAACCTGAAAGCTAAGACGTGTTCCTTCCTCGATCACAGTCGCAAGATTCAGAAGCCATCAACGCACCCAACACCAAATCAACATTCATTCACTCCCCGACCGAGCTCGACCCATGAGTTGGCACGCCCTGCATTCAATCGAAAGATGTAGTTAACTTATTAGTAATTCGGCATGCGCACCACGTAGGCTAAGTAGTTTTTAGGGTCAACAGTTATTTACACCACTTGTTCATTCTTACGCATGTATTGTTCATTCTTCATTCATGGCTTTCATTCATTGGTCATCAGGAAAATGGATAATTTGATGAAATTTATGCATTTGAGAAAGAAATGTAGAACCTTGAAGGGAATCTTTTTTTAGAAGGAAGCAATATCTACACATAATATCTTTGAAACTTTGGAAATATTTTGGGCAATATCTAGAATTTCAGTAAAATTTCAATACTTCGGTCCCTTTTTCAATATAAGTGTCATTACTGACACAAAAAAAATGAACAATTGAAATTGAAAATAGAAGATTTAATAATTATGAAAATTATATCTAATAGTTAAAATACCCACAATACTAAATGCTACGTAACATCAAAACCACACCTCAAAGTATGACAAAAATCAGTTAAGAAGTTGTGACACAACAATGGTTTGGTATTAGAATGTTTAACCGAATTAAAATAAAATTTTCAAAGAAGTTTAATGGCTTCCAATCAAAATAGAAAAGGAAGTTTGGTGCTATTGGTCTAGAAATTTTGACAGATATCATCATTTTAAGTGTTACAAAATGAACTATATGTTATAGGCTTATTTAACTGAATTGTATTTAGAACAGAGAGGGAGGGGGCTGACAGTAATAGAGAGAAAATAAAGATGTAATTTCTGAGGTATGTGTTGTATTACCTCATTGTTCCTTTATTTATAGTAGTAAGGAAGGTGTAATCCTTACCTTAATAGGATTATAACTCTAATAGGAATTTAACTACTAAAGGGAATATACAAAGATACTCCTAGATACACTAGGATTTACACAATCATATTCCTAATCCAATAGGATTGCAGCACTCCCCTTTGAGTGTATAAAAACTCAACAAAACATCACATCATATCTTCAGCAGATAAGGTAGAACAGTTGATGAAGTTGTCGGCACAACGGGTGAATGCGAGTCAAAAATTTAAAAGAAAGTATGCATTGGTAGTAAAACTCAAAGAACTTGCTATAAAGCCTAAGGTAGGTGAAAACCCATAAATTAAGGAGAAAAGTGAGAAGAATGCATATTGTCTACAACAAACATCAAACAGAATGAAAGTAGTGAACTCAACGAAGTATAATCATCCCAGGATGGGTGCCTCATCAAAACCTCGTTATGTAGCGAAAATCTAGTAGGAAAAATGCTTCTAATCGTAGGAAAAAGAGTACATTAAGATCAAGTGAGTATGCTTCTGGATACTCCCCTGAGTTAGATATAACTTCCAAATAAGAGAACTACAAGCAATTCAACTCAGATAATTTACGTATACCGATTCCTTGGACAAGCTTCTGAAAAGTAGACTTGGGTAATGACTTGGTGAAAAGATCGGCCAGGTTGTCTAGGAACGGATTTGCTTGACTTCAATGTTCTGATGTTGTTGCTGGTGAGAATAAAATACCTTTGGCGCTATGTGCTTGGTGTTGTCTCCCTTGATGTATCCCTTATTTAACTGCTCGATACATGCTACTTTATCTTCAAAGATTGTTGTAGGAAGGTCAACAATGGAAGTAAGACCGCTAGTGCTTTGAGTATGTTCCATGACAACTCTCAACCAAAAGCACTCACGCAATGCTTCATGAAGGGCGAGAATCTCAACATGGTTCGAAAAAGTTGCAACTAGCGTTTTCTTGGTAAACCTTCAAGATATAGCGGTGTCTCCAACAATAAAGACATAGTCCGTTTGAGAATGTGCCATGTATGGGTCAGACAAATAACCAATATCTGCGTAACCAACGAGGCGAGAATAAACCCGAGGACCAAGGAAGGTGGCGGCTCTTCTCGAGGATTCATGGGTGTAAAACAAGCCCAAATCGGTCGTATCCTTAAGGTAGTGGAAAATGTCTTTAACACCAGTTCAGTGTCTGCGTGTAGGCGCATTGTTGTATCTAGCCAAAAGACTAACATCAAAGGAGATGTCGGGTTTAGTGCATTGAGCCAAGTATAATAAAGCACTAATTGCACCTAGGTATGGAACTTCAAGCTCCAAAATCTCTTCCTCATCCTCCTTGGGACGAAAAGGATCTCGTTTAGCATCTAGAGTTCGAACGACCATAGGAGTACTCGAAGGTTTCGCTTTATCCTCATTAAAACGTCGCAACACATTTTGGGTGTAGTTCGAATTGATGTACTAGGATTCCATCCGAACAATGCTCGATCTCTTGACCGAGACAATATCAAGTTTTCCAAAGATCTTTTGTCTCAAATTTCGATATCAAGTGAACGGCAATTTCCTCAAGCTTTGCAGGAGTTCCAATAAGGTTTATGTCATTGACATAAACTGCAACAATCGCAAATTCGGAATGTGACTTCTTTATGAACACGTATGAGCATAATTCACATAACCCTGACTTTTCAAATATTCAATCAGATGGTTATACCACATCTGCTCGGATTGTTTCAATCCATAGAGTGATTTCCTCGATCTAATCGATAGAGTGTTCCGTGGTATAAAACTATTTGAACCAGTCAATGGAAGTCTTTCTGGAACTTTCATGTAGATTTCTGTATCTAGATACCCATAAAGATAGACATTTACCACGTTCATAAGCTGCATATTTAGTTTTTCAGAAACTACTAAACTGATAAGGTAGCAGAACGTTATGACGTCCATTACGAGGGAATACGTCTCCTCGTAATCAATCCCAAGATGTTGAGAGAAGCCTTGCACTACGAGGCGTGCTTTGTATCATACTATTTCATTCTTCTCATTACGTTTCTTCACAAAAACCTACTTGTAACCCACAGGCTTCACATGTGATGGAGTAGGAGCTACAGGCCCAACCACCTTACGTTTCGTAAGCGAATCGAGTTTGACTTGGATTGCTTCTTTCTAGTTTGACCAATCCGTTCTACGTTGACGTTCATCAACAAAACATGGTTCAATGTCATCGTTAAGCCTGATGTCGGAAGCAACAGTATACGCGAATGCATCATCGACAATCATCTCATTCAGATTCTAAACCTTATCCAATACTATGTAATGGATCGAAATCTCTCGATTCTCGAAAAGCTGGTAGGTCTCATCTAAGACATCACCGTAATCTAGAATAACCTCATGTGTTGGAACAGATGAGTAAGCAATGGTCAGATTTAGACTAGGGTCACTAGTTTGTGTCGTTTTCCTCTTCCGAGATTGTGAATCTTTTGAACTAGGGGGTCTGCCATGCTTCAGGGAAGAGCATATGATTGGCTAGCCGCCAGTGTACCGTACCGCATAGGATGTGCAGCTGCCCTACTCTTGGGGATGGTTCAGCCTTCTAAGACAGTGATACGGCATACGTTAAGAGCGTCTATCCTTGCAGGTGCATTTGCTGCGGGTATATGTGATTTCATCACCTTTGCTAGATTAGTAAAAGTATTTGGCATGCTTTAAGCGATGTTGTGATGATCTGAAATACATCGCACTTCAGTTTCAGATTGAGGGGTGCAGATATCTAAATGAGACATAGTGGGAGTAATCCCCGATAATTTGCGGTGTTCTACACGAATGTTAGTGATCTTATCTCCCCCTAACGATGGGAAGATTGTCTCATCGAAGTGACAATTCGCAAAACGTGTGGTAAAGAGATCTTATGTCAAGGGCTCTAAGTAGCGAATAATGGATGGTGAATCATAATCGACATAGATTCTCATTTTTCTCTGAGGGCCCATTTTGGTATGCAGTGGCGGTGTTATTGGCACATAGACTGCGCACACAAACACACGTAAATGTGAGACGTTAGACTCGTATCCAGTGACCAACTGTAACAGCAAATGAGGTTGGGTAGTGGTAGGCCTCAAGCAAACCAACACATCTGTGTGCAGTATTGCATGGCCCCATGCAAATACCAGCAAGTTGGTTCACATAACCAAAGTCTGAGCTATCATTTGAAGGCGCTTTATAAAAGTTTTTGCCAGGCCATTTTGGGTGTGAACATGGGGTATGGGATGTTCAATTTCAATCCCAATAGACATGCAATAATCATCAAAAGTCTGTGACGTAAACTCTCCAGCATTATCCAGTCAAATTGACTTAATTGGATAATCAGGGTGGTGAGCCATGAACTTAATAATTTGTGCTAGAAGTTTTGCAAATGCAGTGTTATGTGTGGACAATAAGCAGACATGTGACCATCGCATCAATGCATCAACCAACACCATAAAGTATCTAAATGGTCTACATGTTGGTTGGATAGGTCCACAAATATCCCCAATATTCCAAAAAAAAAACTTAAGGGGGGTCGTGAATAATCTTTGTAAGTGAGGGTTGAATGTTCAACTTTTCCAGGGAGCATGCTTTGCAAAGCAGATGGCCGTAATAAGATTTCAAATGATGCCCATGTGATACTTTGAGGATACGGTGCATCATATCTCGTCTAGGGTGTCTCATTTGGTCATGCCAAAGCAAGAGAGTGATCTGGAACCTAGCCATAGGGCCGGCCACGTGATGGGTCTCAATGGTGCAAATGGTTGTTATGTACAACCTACTAGGGAAACGTTCCAGCTTCTCGTGAATATGCTTCTGGCCATATTCGTAAGCAGTGATACAAAGACATTCAAAAAGAGATCAAATTTTTAAACCAAATAATGTGTCACAAATAAAAAGTAAGCACATTAATCAACATTTAAGTAATAATCCAATCATTAATATCATCTTCAATTGATGTTTAAAATTTAATTTAGGAATTTATTCTCTTTAGCATTATCTATAAGATCCCACATCGCTCAGGAGTGATGATCATGTAAGCCTTATATGTATATTCTCATCTTTACCTAGCACGAGGCCTTTTGGGAGCTCACTGACTTCGGGTTCCGTAGGAACTCAAAAGTTAAGCGAGTTCACCTGAGAGCCTCATCTGAATTCTCAGAAACAAAACTGTGAGGATGTGATAGAGGCCCAAAACGAACAATATCGTATTACGGTAGAATCAAATCCGAAATATGATGGAAGCCCGGATCACGATGTGACATTATCCGTCGTAATGTGATTCCTTCTTATGTTCCGCTTTACCGGTTTCAATATATTACTATCTTTCTAAAAAATATATATTATTTTATGGCTTGGCTGTCGGCTCTCCAATGATGAAAAACAAAACTGAAAGATAAAGTACTTTTGTTTATTTTATGGCTACCAATTCATGATTATAAAAGATTATGCTTTGGAGCTCCCATGTGATGCACGCATGCACCTGGGCCGCCTGCCTGGGGTATGCAAATTAATGTTGGATTATTATTAGTACAATAATTACCTCTTAATTTATATTACCAAAATAACAGGCAAAACTTAATTCGAGTTCCTACTTAGGGTAAGGTGTTATTATTCACGCACTAATTTTTAACTCTCACATATCTTTCTCAATTTTCGACCGTTGAATCGAATTAATTGAAAAAGATCAATAGATAAAAATTAATAAAAGTATACAGAAAATTAAAAAAAGTGTGATTTCATGATTTCCTCGTTCTGAGCAAGTAAACATGCCATCAATCAATTCTCAATTCTCATACCTCTTTTAGATGATCTGCTAGTAATTCATGATTCTTGGATCAATGTCATCTTAAGTTGAAGGCAAATTCTCAATTCTCATACCTCTTTTAGATGATCTGCTATTTATCTTAGTAAAGCAAAAAATTAAATAAAAGCCCAAACTGAATGGCAAAAAGGTCTTTTCACCTAAATATAATTATTTTGCAAATCCCTCTCTAAAATTATTATTTTATCAGGAAAGCAAAATAATGCAAAATAATGGCCATCTTTAAACAATGTGCTGTTTTCTCATTTTAGTAATATTTTACTGTTCTTCTCTGTTTTTCTCTGTCCCTCTCTCTCTCTTCGCTCCAAAAAGCTGCGACTTGGAGTACGCCGTTCTGCGATTCTCTCTCTCTCTCTCTCTCTCTCCTCGCTTTCTGTTCGAGATCCAAAAGCACCTCCGCTCAGAAATCTCCAGCCCAATCTTCAGATATCTGCCACTTCTTCGACTACCAATTTCTGTTGAATCCGAAGGCACTTCTACCATGCTTTTTTAAAACCCATTACTTTCTTCTCCAAAAGCATCCACCTTTATTTTTATATTTTCCTTAGAAAACTTTAGAGATTACCGCCTTCTTTAGATCCTCCAAATTTAGTTATTTCCGCTCGATTGCTTTGCACAAGTCACACTCCAACTCTGTGATCTGTAAAACCTTCGTTTCCAACTAAATTAGACACTTCCGCTATCTATTTTAGCTGTCTTATTTTGGACTAAAGCTCTTTGCTTTGTTCTTGCAACCTCCGAATTCGAATTGGATTTGGATTTTAATCGGTATTGTGTTGGGTTTTTTGCTTTGATCATCAGTTGGTTATATTTGGGAGATTTGGTCATCTGGGTATTTTGATTTTAGGGGGATTTGGGTTTTCTTTTTGCTGTTTTTTGTGATCTGGGTCTGGGTTTTTTCAACTCAAGGTGTTAGATGCACCTGTTGGATTGTTGCTTAGAAACCCTTTGGATGCTTTGTTGTTAAGATGCAGCCGGATCAAAGAAAAAAGGTATATTCAATCACTTCTGATGTATTCCTGCAAAAATGCAAAACGTTTCTGATGTCCTTCCGATGTTTGCAATCATATGTTGATATTAGTAGTTATAGTTGATTTTATTCGAAGATTTGGTCTTGCATTTGTTAACTATTTCATGATAATTGGAATCAAAACTTTCTTGCTGGTGCAGATTTTAGCGTATTATTTCCTGCTGTATTATGGTGGTGTTCCGATATATGGACTGTACAGTGTTCCTGTTCATGTTTCATTTCTGTGCCATATGCTTTTGTGCATTTGGTTGTATGGGTAAATGCCCACTTATAATTTGTCTTATGAAGCTGTTATTGCTTAGTTTCGTTTTGTATCATAAAACATTTTATGGTTTGTTCATGGGGTAAAGGTTAGTCAAGCTGAAATACAATACATTACATAAATTTCTTGTATTCTTAACCAGGAATCTAAGTTTTCTTTAACTAAAGAATAGTCAGTGTCATTTACAAATCTCATGTTATTGTTCTTTACATTTTCTAGCCGTTTACCTACTTGATCATGATAAGTACTTGTAATCTTCAGTCAAGATGTAGAGGGAAACATTTTAAGAAAATAACTAGTGGGTGTTCAGCCTGATTTGGTGATGTTCGTACTGTGACTAACAAGGGTAGAGATTGACTTGTTTCATATTCTTCTACTTAAATTTGCAAAATACGAATTATTTGATTTTTGGGTCTCTTTTAGGCATCCTTGTATTGTGACCAACTGTTTCCACCCAATGTTGTGAATCATTTTGATTGCATAATGACTTGTCTTATGGTATTGTGTTGATGAAATGGTATGTTTGTGGCCATGCAGTCGTCTGCAGATGTGGACTTCTTCACAGAATATGGTGAGGGTAGTAGGTATAAAATAGAGGAAGTAATTGGTAAAGGAAGCTATGGCGTTGTTTGCTCTGCATATGATACACATACTGGAGAAAAGGTTGCAATAAAGAAAATAAATGACATCTTTGAACATGTATCGGATGCCACCCGCATTCTTCGTGAGATTAAACTTCTTAGGCTCCTACGCCATCCAGACATTGTGGAGATCAAGCACATCTTGTTGCCACCATCCAGAAGGGAATTCAAGGACATTTATGTTGTCTTTGAACTCATGGAATCTGATTTGCACCAGGTTATTAAAGCAAATGACGATTTGACACCAGAACATTATCAGTTCTTTCTTTATCAGCTTCTTCGAGGCATGAAGTACATACACACAGGTAGTTTTATACTTTGACCTTGTTTGCAGTACATCTATAATATTTAGCACTACTGTAGATTCTTTTTACCTCAAACTCAAATTAGATCATGACAATACATGTTCTTATTTTCTTTATATATTGGTTTTGTAGCAAATGTCTTTCACCGAGATCTAAAACCCAAAAATATCTTAGCAAATGCTGACTGCAAACTCAAGATCTGTGACTTTGGTCTTGCAAGAGTAGCTTTCAATGATACTCCTACCGCTATATTCTGGACAGTAAGTCTTTCTTTAATAACTTGGGAGCTTTGATTTCCACATGATATCAGATTTGCACGTTTTCTGAAAATGTAAGTTGTTCAGGTCTCATCTCTAACTTCATTTCTTATACATGCAGGACTATGTTGCCACAAGATGGTACAGGGCCCCTGAATTGTGTGGATCATTTTTCTCAAAGGTAAAAGAATCATTACCCCTTTCATTATTTTGGATGCTGTTGGATCTTTTTGTCTGGTACTGTAGTTGTAGCTTCGTGTGCTAAAATGATTCTTTAAAAAGTTTCCAACTGAATTTTATTGTGTTATTGCACCATTACATGTAATGCTTCCTCACCTCTTCTTTTCTCCAATTTACTTCACATTTTTACAGTAAACATTAGCCTGTGGAGATCTCACAATATGTCCCTTTCTCCTTAACTTATTTTCAGTATGGTTAGAACAATTTATTTAATCTGTTGTTAACCCTTTTGCTAACAAAGGCATTGCATTAGAAACAATGCTGCATCTGTAACCCTTTCTATATTTGGTGCTGTTTGACAGATATTTAATAATTTTATACAACACAATACAATACAAAACAATATTAGAATGAGCCATACCTTCGCTATCTTCTAAATCTTAATTTGCTTGGCCTTCCATTGATTACCTTACCTCTACTTCCTGTAATAGCATTGAACAGTAACCATTGCAAGTAATGTCATGCAGTCACCCAGTGATAGCCATCTCAGTCCGCTGCGATAGATGTGTTTCTTTTACTTTTCTGCTTTATTTTCCAGGTGTGATATTCAGTCCATTGATACTCTTGTTTCTATTTTCAGTATACACCTGCAATAGATATATGGAGCATAGGGTGCATTTTCGCAGAGCTCTTAACTGGGAAGCCTCTATTTCCTGGCAAAAATGTTGTTCATCAATTGGATCTGATGACTGATCTATTGGGAACACCATCTGCTGACGCAATTGCCAGGGTCAGTTTACTGGAATATATTTATTTACAATATTAACAAATTCTGACTATATGTTGTTGTGTACATTTCATTGTCTGAACTACTCTTATCTGAGTCTAATTCTAAATTTTATCAAACAGGTACGCAATGAGAAGGCGCGCAGATACTTGAGCAGTATGCGAAAGAAGAAGCAAATTCCTTTCTCCCAGAAGTTCCCTAATGCAGACCCACTTGCACTTCGTTTATTAGAAAGAATGTTGGCATTTGAACCGAAGGATAGACCTACTGCTGAAGAGGTAAATGTTCATACAAATTCTTCATTTTTTTACCATTTAAATTATCCTGCTAATGAAGATATTCTTCTGCTTCGTTTAGGCCCTTGCTGATCCCTATTTTAAGGGTTTGGCAAAGGTGGAGAGAGAACCTTCTGCTCAACCAGTTACCAAGATGGAATTTGAATTTGAGAGGCGAAGGATAACCAAGGAAGATGTAAGAGAGCTCATTTACCGTGAGACTCTCGAGTACCATCCAAAGATGTTGAAGGAGTACTTAGAAGGATCTGAGCCAACTGGCTTCATGTATCCAAGGTATTCTCATCCGAAATTTTAAAATATCAACCTAGTTTAAAACATCCTAACTCATACATTTCTCTTACAAGAGTCTTTATATTTGTAGTCATGTATATGTTCATCGTCTGGTTAACATCTGTGTTTCTCATAACATAAAATGTCTGGCCAACATTGTGGGTATTTTAATAGAACTGTTACTCTGAGTTGTGAAAAGTTGAAGCACCTCGAATTAAAACCCTTAGTGCTCTTCCCAGCGAAGTAGATGATATCTCTTGTGTTTATGCAATGAGGATCTAAACAAACTTTAACACTGTTCCAGGTTTCCATAAGAATAATGTATGTGTTATCACTTCTAAAGGTATAAACAAAGAAAGCTAAAATCCGCAACTTGAAGCCTATTTAGTTAATGAGTTTCCCACTGTAGTGAAGTGAACTGTCAGTCTCAGGAACCATCACTGTTTGCTCTGGAAGCAGGGTGTATGTAAGGTACAGGAGTCGGTATACAAGTAAGATAGATATGTACGTCGTACAATCTTGAAAAAAGCAAGAAATATGGCATTATAATGTTAGTAGACACAATATTAACAGATTTTAGGTTGATTTCATGTAATCAAGTATTTGATTGGGTTGCTAAACCTTGAATATCAAATTTGGTGGGAGAATACCATGCAAACCACCGGGACAGTATGCAAACTACCAGGAGAGCATGCAAACCAAGTTTCCTCTGATTTGCAAGCTTTATTGCTCTTCAAAGGAGAAGGCTTTATCTTAATTTTTAATTTACTTACTTTTTCAACACAGTGCTGTTGACCATTTCAAGAAACAATTTACTTATCTTGAGGAGCACTACGGAAATGGCACAACAGCTGTTGCGCCTGAAAGAACACATGCATCACTGCCCAGGTATCCCTTGTACCATCTGTTTTCTAAGCATCACCTGTAAATTTTATAAGCATTCTTGTCTAATTGCTCACAATCTGAATTCGAAATCTGGGGATTGACTGAAATTTGTGCTAATCTGATTTCAAAATCTGGGTATTGACTAAAATTTGTGCTTGCAGGGCATGTGTTTCATATTCAGATAACCCAGTACAGCATTCAACAGATGTCACAGATGACCTCTCAAGATGCTGCATCAAAGAAGTTGAGAAGCCACAGACAGACAGGAGCAGTGGGATCCCTACGACAAGGCACCCAATTCAAGTTCCTCATACCATCCAAGGTGCAGACATGATTACAATAAATTACAAATTGTTGTTGTTAGGGTGTCTGCTTTTTCACACTCCAAATGCACTTGCAATATTTCTCTTGTTCCCACTATTCCTACTCTTGCGTTTTAAAATTTGAGTTATATTTTTATCTATTTAAACTGCTGTCACTTTGCTTTTTTGGTTTTTTTTTTTTTTTTTTTTTTACTTACAATGCTGCTTTTTGATGCAGGAGCTGCAAGGCCTGGGAAAGTTGTGGGCTCAGTATTACGCTTTAATAATTGCGGGGCAGCAGCTGCAGCAGAGGCTCTTGAGCAGCGAAGGGTGATGAGGAATCCAGCTGCTCCAACTCAATATCCTGCTGCAAGTGCAGCTTCATATCCTAGAAGAAATATGCCCTGTAAAAATGAGAGGGGAGATTGTGAAGGCGTTGAAGGTTCCAACCGGCTGCAGCCAAAGCCTCCTCAGTACATACCAAGGAAAGTTGCTGCTGCTCAGGGTGGATCTGGTAGCCAATGGTACTGATTCCATGGCAGGTTTATATGGTGGAATCCGCTAACCGTAACAGATGTTAGATGGAGCAGTTATCCACCGCATACTAACCGGGATCGATCCATCACTAATTGAAACTTCATCGATTTAAGTAGTTTGAATGCCAGTTCCGGATAGTGCCACATCTGCGCGAGAAAGATTGAGGCCTTTCAATCTCCACTGGAGGAAGAATGCTAAGTGATGCGTTGACGTACCCGATTCGTTCCATCGCTCAGTAACTAGGGTAATTTTTCGTTTCATCCTTTATGGCGTAACATCAGTGTTTGTATATTCACCTTGTATTATTTTCTACTTGAAATAATGGTCTCTCTAACGCTCCTTTCCTTGATCATGTTTGGACATCTATGGCGATAACTGATTTGGTTTTGTGCTACTTTACTGGCAAATTTAAACGTGTTTTGCTTTGTTAATTGGGTTGAGTGCTTCAGTTTCTCATGCATGCGCCAATGCACCCAAGTCCGCCACAAAAAATGGAGTGTGAAAATCATTTTCCTTTCGTTATCAGTGTTGAACCATTGTGAAGGTGTTGAAGACCATAAATAAATGCAAGTTAAAAAAACCTGATCCTCACGATGAACTGTTTCATTTTGTCCATTGTGATTCAGTTTATGCTAAGGGCTCGTCTGGTGTCTAAGACTCGATAATAATTGAACTGTTGGATAATTACTCATTCGTAAAACATATCCCATCCGATCCTCCCAAATTTATTCCAGTCCTATTCTAAGAGTAAATTAGAGTAATGGTCCTATAATTTTAATCAAATTGGTACAATGGTCCCTCAACTAAAAATTCAATACTATTGGCCCCTCGGTTCATTAAAATGTGTAGTTATGGTCCTTTTGGTCAACTCCGTCAAAATTGTGTCAAAATAAGTTATGTGAGAAGGACCATTGCTACAATTATGTTAAAGTTGAGGAATAATTGCTCAAATTGGGTTAAAGTTAAGAACCGATTTCTCCAGTTGAAGTAAAGTTGAGAGACCATTGATACAATTTTTCGTATTTGATTTTCCGTGTTTGACCTTTGATTTAACCTCACGTGAATGATATGTAACTCACGTGAATGACGTGTTTGCCCTTTGATCAATTGTACTCTGTCAAATTCTTGGAGTCGGAACGATCTTAGAAAACCTCACTTGTACCCAAATTTCTTCAACTTTGATCTCCTCTAGCAAAACATAATATTGATCTCCATTTTCTAATCTCTAAGTGATGAATCCTCACACAATAGAATCAATATGTCAAATATATTGTATCAAAGTTGGAAGAAAATGAGTACAAGTGATACATATATATATATATATATATAATCAAGCGTCCTGTCCTGTCTATACGAGTAAAGATGCTGCGATCTTTCATTATCTATAAAATATTAAAAACGACAACTCCAATCTGGACCAAGAAAAAATGCACACACATTATAGCCAGCCATCAACAGAGGTTTACAAACTACATCGCAAACAAATCCTTGGCAACACGAGATATTACAATCAAACAAGAAAAAACAGATGAACCAAACTCTCGTTTTTGTTTTATTATTCTAATGGCTTATTTTCCAAATCAATACAACCTTGCCTTAACCCGCCTTCCGTTCCCATCAGTGCCGTCTGATAAGTTCCCTTTCCCGTACCCAGAAGTAACAAAAGAATGCTCACCAATACTTGCAACGTAACGCAGTAGCTCAGTGATGACAGAAGGGCAGCTTTCCCTCAAGTACTTGAATCCATCAGTTTCAATCACAGCTGAAAACAATTTACCACCTTTCTTGTCAATATAAAGTTATTCAACGGACAGCAACACATACATTCAATCCGCATTAAACCATGAGTTAATTAAAGAGTAAATGAAAAGAAAAACATATGCTCGAGAAGTTCTCATTTTCCAACCAACAAGTGAAGCATCTTTAATTCCAAACCAAACCCAAAACACACCAAAATGGAAGTCCCCTCCACAACCACAAGTCTTTTAAAGCGACTCATTGAACACCAATAACTGATTCTATATTTAAAATGAAAGAAAGGTAACTTTAGGTTTGTTTATTGAAAATCTACTCAAGAACCTGGTTTGCTCGAGTGTTATTCAATGGCCCACAAAAGAATTAAATATTTTTTAAATTACAAAGACAAGCTTTTTTACAGATAAAAAAGGAGATAGAACAGAAAGAAGTTCATCAAAACCAGATTACACTCCTCAAAAAAGGAGATAGAACAGGAAAGAAGTTCATAAAAACAGATTACACCCCTCGAAGACCCTCAAGAAAATTACTGCAAGCCAAAACTTCCCCACTCCCACCAGATTTGACTCTTTTCTGATCTCATCTCCACATCATTCATATTTGAACTGAAGAAAAAGACATTGAAGAACCAAGGAACAGTGGTAGACCAACAATGGACGATTTTTCTATTTTAAAAAAATAGCTCTAGAAATATTAACACAGTAAGAACATATCGGTTAAAAAAAAAAAGAAAGAAGTATACCTCTTAAATTTTCAGGCACTGCAATAAATTTGAGGCATACAGCTCTAAGTTGTTCACATTGGTGTTGCTCTGCCAAGGCTAACGTTGTTGCAACATTATTTATGGCAACATTTTCGCAAAGTTTAGCCTCACACATCAGCTTGAGCCTCTCGAGGGCATAGCGATCAGCTGCTGCCAGCAGATGTTGGGCCATCATTGTAGACACCCAATTTGAATTTAGCGGCCCAACAAGCTCTTGCATGTCTGGTAGAGAATCCCAGTAGATGAAGTGGAGTAATGCCTGCAGACATCCAAAACAAGAAATCAATCAAGCTCATATGTTCCCTTTACTTGAATAACAGAAATCAATCAAACTATTAGCAACCGTTTTCTGGGAATAAAAGATGTATTGAAGAGGGAACAGGGTATTGTCAATGCTAATGCTAAATATGCAGTAAAAGAGCAAAGACAGAAGCAACACAAAGAAATACTTCGTAAATACGTTTCCATTAAATATTTGAATAATTTAAAACATGCATTTCATAGTTGAGTAATGCAATAATGCAAAAACAAAACACCTGGCTGCCACTAGCCAAAATCAGATACACACTTGAAGGTTGCATTACTTGAATTATTTATCCTTCAGCAAATAAAAACTTACATTTATAGTCCAAAAGAAAAGCTGTAATATAGGTACCATATAATCAGCCAAAACGGGACCTAATTCTCCTGAACATATTGAAGCCTGCACTCTAAAGCTAATAAACAAAAATGACATCCCCTTTATCATATGATTGTCATTTGAACATGAAGAAGAGAGAGTATTTAGCCCTAAGCCTACTCACCAATCCATATATAAACAATAAAGTAAAGTCGTAAAAAAACTAGCATGAGCAGCTTTACGAAATTGGTGATAAAGACAGAAAAATTCATGTGTATGATCTCCAAATTCGTGCTTCCTATAGAAATGTCCTACTTCATACCACAACATGAACACTTCATTCAGGAAAATCAAACTTCTGTTAAATTTTGAAATATTTTCTCCGCCATATGCGTCAAAAACAAAAATCAGTGCATCTTACACACCCCATTGATGTTAACAGTTTACACCTCTTAATGCTTCTTTCTAGGGAAGCAAAACACGCAGGGGCACGGGCTCGTGCACACACGCAGACACACACACACACACAGACAAACCCACATAGAGAGAGAGAGAGAGAGAGAGAGAGAGAGAGAGAGAGAGAACCTTAAATACGGGAGCTTCAATGTCTTCAACTATTATGGAATCAGTGTTCTTATCTTTTAATGGACCAAAAAGTTGTGCCTTGAAGACACGCGAGCGTGCTGCTAGCACCACTTTGTGGGCAGCAAATACTTCTTCGTCAACTTTGAAACTTACATCAGTCAACTTTCCACTTTCTAAAAGCTTACCAAAATGTTGGCCAATATTGGAAGGTGGTTCTGCTATATTGTACGTTTTAGGTCCTTCTGTATTCGTCTTAACAACACCAACACGACATTTTATTATAAGACAATCATCTTTAAGGTAGTCTGATGCCTCTAAAAGACTTCTTTTGTAAAAGCGTTTATAACCCCTACAACATCCAAAAGTTGAACCTACTCAGTTATGTTTTTCATCCAAAACAGTACAGGCAACAATTTATGTTGTATATATTGTAATGACAAGGCAAAGAACAGCTTATTTATTTGCGGAAATCCAGGCCCAAACAATTATGTTGTTTTTCAATGCTCACTAACAATGCTGATGGCAGCTTTGCCAAAACATTAAGGAGTTACCGAGTTGTCAGGCATGGTTAGAGACATATAATAGAAGATAATACCATTTTTTTTATTTTACTTTCATTACATTTAGAGTAGTGCTATCCACACACCCATTTTTTACTTCTCACACACCCCAGGATCCAATAAATTGAAGAATATCAATGGCCAAAATTAACAAGGGTGAGTCAGAGGTAAAAATGGGTGTGTGAATAACACTATCTTACATTTAAACATTTCACACACACGGTATTTTATCTCCGAATTGCATTCAAGGAGCTTTAAGTTTGTGGTCAAAGTCGAAGTAAAATGATTAAACTTCAAAGCAACAACATTTCATATCAAAGACACACCTATCATCATAAGTTTAACCAATTCCATGAAAAGTTTCACACTTTTATACACACAATATGCAATCAGAATCCAATACACACATATAAACATACAACTTATACAAAATTATACATCAAAACAGTAATTTCAGAATACATACCACATGCTTCCCCGGTATTTAAGCGTATAAGGACCGCCATCAAGCATCCTCAGAAAATGGCTATGCACCTTGTGCCGCTGCCTCTCGCTCTGATCCAAAAGCGTCAATTCGAACAGAGCCCTGACATCGGTGCCCTCGCTCGCCAGAGCTATGAACACCGACACGTACCCGGCATTGTCCTCGACGCTCTTGCCATCCGGGTAGAAATATATAGCCCATGTATAACCACCGACCACAAACGAATCGGAGGCGACGTATTTGCCGATTCCCATGCCCTTGGCGAGCGAGTACCCACTGATCTTAAACTCGTGGCACCCATTTACGGTCTCCGTGCACGACGTCGAGCACGTGACCAGCGGAGCCGCCGCCGCGGGGATGAGCTGGGCTTTAATGCTTCATTTGGGACCCTGATTCTGTCCATCAACAATTACTGGCTGGTGGCGCGGAAAGGACCGATTTTGATGTTCTGGGGCTTCTCGGGGTGGGAATTGTGAAGAGGGTTGGATTGAATTGGCCCGTTGGATTGGATTTAGAATTAGGGTTTTGATCGAGGATTGGAGTGTTAACTTGGGGGAATTGGGGGGTTTTGGGGTTGAATTTGGTGGTCCAGAGAATTTGAAGGGTTGGAGGGAGAGAAATGAATTGGCGGGAGGCGGTGATGGCGGTGGTGGTGATGTGGATTCGTGATGGATTGGCGGTGGATGGTGGTGAGAATAATGTTTGATTCTGATCGTGTGGGGTAAAGGTTTTTGTATGGTTGAAATGAGGTAGGAGTTTATAGGAAACAGGACGACGCCTGCCAAAAACATATGTCACACATTGATTAAGTAATTAAATGTGAATATTTTGTATTTCGGAAGAGATTTCTTCTAAGGAAAAATACGAGAGAGAGAGAGAGAGAGGAGTGGACATAGATCGAGTTGGATTTATTTTTGGTAAATTTGGATTTGAATTTTTTTTCATACGAGTTTGAGTCAATTTAGGTTTATGTTTTTTTATTTTTTATTAGTAGAATCAATTCATTTGAATTTGTTTGATACGACCTAATTCTTATAAATCAAATAGATACATTTTCAATAATATGTTGTATAATAAAACAACAATTTTCCGTTAGGAAATAATTACATCTATAAAGTCAATACCAACAAATGTTCTAAAGGAAGAAGTTTGATTGTTATTTTACTTTGATATATATGGAATTATCGATCATGGGCTTCATCCTAGACTATTAATAAAATGACAAGTTCTAAGACAATCTTTAAACGGTTTGGACCAGATTTGCTTGCACATAAGAAATATGGACTCGGTTTTACACAAGCCGAGTCCAGCTCATATCGTTTGGAAAATTAAAAGTAAGAACCAGTTGATTTTATATCAGGTCAGATTATACACTTTGGATCCACGAGTTACAAGACCCGTATGCCACTTGATGCAGCGGTTCATGGTTGGATTCCTCCTTCAATGATATAACAATGCAGTCAAGCATCAACTGCCATATCATGTGGTCTACAAAATATGGTCCAAGACTTCAAGTGGATAATCTCTTTAGCATCACTCTCATTTCTATAGTGATTTAATCAAAGAACCCAACAATCAACTGCCACATAATGTGGTTTATAAAATATGATTTAAATAGATAGCCTCTCTAGCATCACATTTTTTAAAGTACTAGGTATTCAAGAGGTGCTCCACATTTCATAATACAAGTGGAGGAAAAATGTTATACTTTTATGAATCTCTCTACTTCTTTTATGACACGTGAAGTACTGCTTGAATACCAAAAAACATTTGACACTCATTTTCTTACTATGGAATACTTTTTTAATTTTGAAGGAAGAATGTTGCAATTTGATCGTGTGTGTTGAATTTGGAATTGTTCTTTCCCCGGAGAGCAATTAGCTAGGGTTGTTGTTTCATGCTATATATCTAGTTGATAGGCCGGTCTGCGTCTAGGACAACCCTTGCACCACCCTCGCATCACCGGCATTAATTAGTAGCTCTTACCGACTGATCGCCTTCAAGCAATGGTTGGTTTTGGGGTCCTTCAGTCTTCGTCTCAGCTTCGTCTCAACAACACCAACACGACATATATTAAAAGGCAATCGTCTTTAAGGTTGTCTGATGCCTCTAAAAGACTTCTTTAAGGTAGTAGTCTGCAACATTCAAAAGTTGAACCTACTCAGTTATGTCTTTCACCCTCGACAATGTCGAAATCCAGGCCCAACGATTACGTTGTTTTGCATTGCTCACTAACAATGCTAATCACAGCTTTGCAAAACATCAAGTACTATTTACACACTGCAAACAATGGCCAAAACTTGGAAAATGCTTTCCTTCATGCATTAAATGCTACGAACTGAATTGTTTTGGATTATTGTTTTTATTGTGGTCCAATTCCAAGTCAGCTATCTGCTCATACCTCTGGGGGGATTTTAGAACATTTCCAACGGAATTTTACACTTGTTTTATGGATTAGCCGTACTATATGTACACATTCAAGCGCTCAATCAGTCACTTGTTGATTGTAAAAATCTTTTCACAATTAGAAAAAACGAATAATGAAATGTTTAGTTTTAGTGGCATTAAGCAATTAACCCACGCCCGAGGACCGAGTTTCGAACATTCCCCCCACCATCATTTTTGCCTCCATTTAGAGAAAATTAAGATTACCAGAGAGCTTAATTTATCCGATAACCACAGAGCTTCGAACACTCCCACATTCTCTCTCTCTCCCTCTCAATGTTTCGCAGATTCCTCGCCACCTCACTCTCTCGCTCCTCCCCTCCTCCCCTCCTCCACCTCCGCCCCAAAATCCTCCAAACCCCCAACTCCCTCCTCCGCCCCTACCCGAAACCCACCCCCTCACAGTCACTTCCCCCCAACACCCGATCCTTATCCTCCCATATGGGCGACGCCCGCCGACCCGGTTCGGTTCCCATTCCCGACATCGAAAGAGCCGACCGCTCCGAGCTCCTCCGCGCTCTGGAGGCCTCTCTGGGCTCGGCCTTCAGCTCCGAGCCGCTCTGGTCCCAGCCCCAGACCCCTAATCATCGTCATCAGTGGCCCCAGCGGCGTCGGGAAGGACGCCGTCATAAAAAAGCTCAAGGATTCCAACGAGAACTTGCATTTCGTGGTGACGGCGACGACCCGCCCAACGCGGCCCGGCGAAGTTCACGGCAAAGATTACTACTTTGTGAGTAAAGAGGAGTTTTTGACAATGGTGGAAAGGAACGAGCTTCTGGAGTACGCGTTGGTGTACGGGGACTACAAGGGGATCCCCAAACAGCAGATTAGGGAGGAATTGGGGAAAGGGTACGACATCGTTTTGAGGGTCGACATCCAGGGTGCTCAAACACTGAGGAAGATTCTTGGGAATTCGGCCGTTTTCATATTTTTTATGGCAGAGAGTGAGGCCAAGCTTGTGGAGAGGCTGATTGATCGAAAAACCGAGACAACGGAGTCGCTTCTTGTGAGGGTTGCCATGGCTAGGGAGGAGGTGAAGCATGTTAAGAATTTCGATTATGTTGTGGTGAATGCGGAGGGGAGGTTGGACAATGCGGTTAAGTTGGTGGAGTCCATTATCGATGCGGAGAAAGCTAAGGTGCAGCAGAAGAGGTCTGTGATATAGCTGTGGAGGTAAATGTGGTAGCGGATCGAATTTGTGTTTTTCGAGTTTAATTTTAGTTATAAATTGTTCAATTTGAATGGATTAGTTTCGCATGTGGAACAATGAACGCAATAATCCAAGTTCTAATTGTTTTGTAGGAAGTTGTTTAGTTTGTGGCAATTGGAATGTGAAGTTTAGAACTTAGGAAAATCGACTGCTTTAAGTAGTTGCAGTTCATAGAATCACAATGTGTTACATCATTTTTTGCAGTCATTGTGTCTTTTAAATGCGATATATTAAAACAATTGTTCAACAAATCGGAACCAAGCTATTATGTTTATCGAAGTTCTCTTTATTAATCATGTATCCGCACTAGTGATCCTTAATCGTACAGTGTTAGATATGGTCGGACTTGATGCACTAAGTAATGAAAGGTACTTTGATTACGAAATATTCAGGTTCGTTGGAGATGTTTATGGCATGAAGTTTTAGTAAAATGAGTTTGTTACAAGATAAGCATTAAGATGTGACATTCGTTTTTTTGCTATACAACTCTTTGATAACTAATGTGCTCCATACTGAACCAAAATGCTTCACTTCGCACTGGCTTTGCTGGTTTAAGATACATTTGTAACAACTGACTCATCTGTTAGCCAACGTTTACAGAAGTCCTATCTTTGTATATTAGCTGGCATTTAAGCAGGTGAATTGGAGAAGTCAACCTGTATTAGCTTGGCATGTTTAGAGTGAAATCTGGTTTCGATCTCCTTGCTATCAGATATCATTCATGGCCGTCTAAAGGTCAAATCATGTGTGCTTAACCTGCCTATTCCCCATGTTTTGCTCAACTGGTTCAAAGAGTTTATCTGGTTTTGTTTGTCAATTTTGTGTTTTGCAATATATAGACGGCTATATTTCATGATGATGTTAAAGTGGTTAAGTTCATAATTCAACCCTACCCCGTTGTCATCTCTTTGTTTGTCTTAAATTTTATTGATTAAGCGCTGACGTTTGCTACATGTGACTTCCTCTAGCCATCCTATAGCTTAACAAGCTTCCAGGTACAATTAAGTTTTTTCTACTTTGAGCTGGAATTTGGCTAAGAGAGGGACCTGAAGTGCCTAGTACTGCTTGTTTTTGCTGCATTCTGTTTGTTGTGAAAGGCCAGAGAACGTTGTCATATCAGTTGGTACATTAAAAGGTATATGCTGCTATCTGTTTTTTACGTATGTTAGCGACTGGTACTACTATTCTAGATGATAACAGTGGAAAGACATGGAAATGGTAATCTAGTTGCTTTTGTAGCCGGCCTCTTGTTTGAGTTTTCTGAAAGTCCCCACGTTCTAGAGATTTCGTGGAACACCAAAAGAAGAAGAATTATTTGTCTATGACTATCTAGGTGTATTCGGTACTTGCGCTACAAAAGCTTTGAATGGTGATGAAATTTTTCGTCTCTAATAACATATGTATCTCATTCTGAATTGAAGATTCAATTTTACGTGTTGAGTTGATATCGTTGATAGTTTCGAACTTTCGATGCAGCCCCTCGGGAAGATTGGTCATGACCGAGCTCCCTAGCACAGCCAGATTAGGTAGAAGAATTTGATCAAGTTGTCTAAAGTATGTCTTCCTCCCTAGCACAGCCAAATTATCTTACTCAAGCATCTGCCCTCCTAAACCTACTACCACCAACATTTGAACACACCTAATCCACAGGGACTCATTCAACGCCCAGCACCTTAAACTTGAAATCTACCCAAAACAGCAGACTTATTCAATACCCAATTCTTAAATGTTGCTTCCACCACTCATTCCACTATTACGGAAAGATTACCTAAAACTTAGATGCAATTGTGGCGGTATCCCGAAACAATCAAATACTTGATTGGTTTGAAATACAATTACAATGGCGTCCGGTTGCAGGTAAGTTCTTCTCGATATTTTGTTTTTCTCATTGATCATACAACATTCTTTTTTTCCTTCTCTCTGCTATGAGTTATTTTCTATTAAATGTGCTAAATTGTTTCAGGCTTGCAGGATTGATTGCAGGTTTGCATTGTTTAAAGACCCAGCAGAAACAAGAATGTTCTGATGTTGATAACATAAAAAATAAAAGTCAACCAGTATAAGTTTAAAGTTTTATATAAAACACTTGAAAGTTCGAGAAATCTGTATATAAAATCCCAATTTCGAAGCGGTAATTTTCATGAGTATCTAAAACACTAGTAACGTAATGTATTATTTTACATGTATATGGTATGAGAGGGCGACACTAATGCTATATCATATTTTGAGATTTATTAATAAAAAACAAACACATTTAATGTAATTTAGTAGATTAATAAAATCACGTAGTGGTATTCCAAATAAACGGAAACTAAAAGCCACTGCCTTTTTTTTTTTTAACAAAAGCCGCGGCCTTTTAGTTGCAGCCGAAAATACTCTTCGACAGAGATGGGGATCCGTGCACTCAAACTCAGAGGGATTGTAGGGGCTCGAGGAGAGCAGGGAGTGGGACCCTTCTGAGCCTTTAACTTAACACAAATGAACTCGTAACCCTTTTCTGCAAGCCACAACCAACTAATTTGCCGATCGGATCCTACATATTAAACGATTTTATTTTATTTTTAATAATCCAGGTCTTTTTTATCTTAGACGAACAGTGATGCTGGCTTATGCATGTATATGATTAGATGGAGTTTTAAATTATTTAATTAGGATTCAAATTTTGCTTCATCAAATCTTAATTAGCGTTGAAAAAGTGGTTAGTTTGATAACATTAATTATGTCCTTATATCCTAACTATCTGCAGATGCTTAGTTGGCATAATTAGCATTTCATTGGAATGTTTATCCCATAAGAGCAAGACTAGGGAGAAAATTATTGATTAGAAGCTACTTGTATATAATTAAAAGACATGTCAATTAACCATGCTTCGCTGCTGAAATAAGAGCAGCAAGTGCTCTTGAAAAGTCAATCACAAGTGGACACGTGTCTAAATAATTAAAATTAGAAACTATAATAGGACACGTGTTCGTTTGTAATTGGGTTTCATCAGCACTTGCTGCTTTTCTTTCAGCAGTGAAGTATGGTTCTATGTCAATATGTCTAAAAATGGTCGAACCAGAAGGAAAATATTTGGCTTCTTCTTCTTTATAGACCAATTACAGTTTGACATGCATAAATTTTTTTTGCGTGTTTAATAAATTGTTTTTATATATAGATCAAACTCTTTGCAATCGAATAAGAGTGACTTTTTGGAACACATTGTTTTTAGAAAGATTAAAAATAAAAAAATTAAAAAAAATAAAAAAGTAGAAGTCAATGTCTCCAACAAGCTATGATACATGGAGAAATGGTAAGTTGAGAGAAAAACACCAAGCAATTTCTTGAGCTGGCACCACCCTTTCTTTCTTTTTGGTTTTCTCATAAGCGATTCTAAGTTATGAGAGCAAATTATATAATGCCATATATACAAAATTTACACACATAATTATATGATTAGTACGAGACACTACAGCAACAGTATTCTCATGATATATATACAAAACTTACACGCATAATTGTATAATTGGTACGAGACATCATAGCAACAGTATTCTTATATACTCAACAAGAGAAAGATATTGCTCGAACTAATTTGGCTAAGCCACAGAAAGACATTGAATCTAGGACGAGCAAAAATTGATTCCCCAACAAAACATAACAAACTTAGGAGGAAAACAAGAGGGAAAATACAAAAGCAAAATATGACGTTCACTCTTTCCTCTCCATTTCCACAGATTAAACGTGCTCCCCAAGCTTCTCTTCCTCCCTCCTCGTTTATAAACCCATCCCCTCCTCCTTTTCTACAACTTCAAAACCAAACCAAAATTCTTTCGTCTTCTTCTTCAACACAATCATATTCCGTCGAAAATCGACACACAGATAGAGAGAGTAGCTTCGGATTTGAGGGTCGTGGGTGTTTTTGCGGCCTTCAAACTAATACTGAAGAGCTAATATTGCCTAATCCTCTATTTACTTTTAAAGTAACAAAGAGAGAGAGAGAGAGAGAGAGAGAGAGAGAGAGAGAGAGAGAGAGAGAGAGAGAGCAACATGGTTGAGTGCGATAACTCAGGAGAAGGTGAAAGAAGCATTCATTTGCAGATTGACGAGCTTCTTCATCGACGTCTCAACGAAACAAGCAGCGCCACGTTCAGCACAATGTTCGAGCCTCAGAGCAGCATTGAGAAGAGAGACAGCAGCGCAGCAGCTTCCGTTGCTTCTCCAACTGCACAACCAGTTCCAGCACCAGAGAAAAAACTGACCCTTTTCGCGCTCCGCCTAGCAGTGCTCGAAAAGGTAGCAACCGGCCTAGGAACCCTCGGGTTCATCTGGGCAACGGTGGTTCTGCTGGGCGGTTTCGCCATTGAATTAGACCAGACCGACTTCTGGTTCATCACAATCATTTTGCTGATAGAAGGGACACGAATCTTCAGCAGGAGCCACGAGCTTGAGTGGCAGCACCAGGCCACATGGTCCATAACTGACGCTGGAATCAACAGCTTTCGCGCACTGCAAATCAGCTCAAGCTCCGTGATCCACAACATCAGAGCAGTTTTCAGGCCTGTGCAGAACCTTGCACTCAGGAAACAAAGCCAACACAGCAGAGACATTGCGAGGACCAATGACAATTCAGTGTTTTCGCGGAACTCTGATCTTCAGGGGAAGATAGACCGGACTTGGACAAGCTCGGAAGTCCCTCTCCTGCCTTACGCACACCGGTTTTTTTGCGCAAAACATATAAGTAAGCTGCTCTACTGGCTCCAGCTCCTGTCCGCCTCATCATGTGTGGCTCTTTCGCTGGTGAAGCTCGTGAACCACAACTATGGAGAGGTTGAAAAGGGGAACACTAACAAGAGCAACAGGCAGTTTGCACTGAGTATTTTTTATTCGTTAGCATTGGCGGAAGCTCTGCTGTTTCTCATGGAGAAGGCTTACAGTGAGTTTATGATAAGCTGTTGTAAATTGTTGGAGGAGGTGAACAAAGAGTGTGATTTGGGGCCTTCGGGGATGGTCTCGATTAGGAGATTTTTTTATGACGCGTATTCGAGGTGTGTGAATGGAAGCATTTTTGATGGACTGCAGATGGATATGGTTACTTTTGGAATGGACTTATTGGGCTCGAAGTCCACCGATGAACAGCTCATTGGAGCAAAAATTCTTCGACAGTTTTCAATGAACCGGCGGTATTCAGATGATACATTGCAGAAGATTGGTATTAATATTGCAGTGATTGAACGATTGGTTGAGATACTGAATTGGACAGATCAAGAGGAGGAGGAAATCAGACGGTCAGCAGCAGAGATTTTGTCGAAACTGGCTGGCAAAAAGCAGAACTCCATTCGAGTAGCTGGAGTTCCTGGCGCAATGGAATCAATCTCATCTCTGCTCCAAACATGCAGGAGCTCAAGTGGTCCAGCTGATGAGATCAGTGAGAAGAGGATCATTTCTGACCACGCAAACTACGGATTCTTGACATTCAACCATTTGGGATTGCTTATTCTGAAGAAACTTGCGCGTGTCCACGACAACTGTGGGAAGATTGGAAACACAAGAGGCCTCCTGCCAAAGATCATAGATTTTACACATGCCGACGAGAGGATCCTAAAAGACGTGACTGTTATGCCAAACGATCAGATACTGACGCTGAAACGATCCCTCCAGTTGGTGAAGAGGCTTGCAAGCACGACCGGCAACACAGGAAAGAATCTGAGGAGAAATCTTTCGGAGATAGTTTTCACAATCAGCAATATCAGAGATATTCTGAGATATGGAGAGAAACAGCCAGTGCTGCAACAATTGGGAATTGAAATCTTAACAAGTTTGGCGCTGGAAGAGGAGGCAACCGAGAGAGTAGGAGGAACAGGTGGAGTTCTTAAGGAGTTATTCAAAATTTTCTTCAACAAGGGAATGCTGAAGAATGATAAAGTGAGGATCAAAGCCGGAGAAGCACTGGCTATGCTGGTTTTGGAGAGCACGAATAACTGTCAGCGGATATTCAAATTGGGGGTGCTCGAAAGCCTCATTGAAGCTCTAGAGGTTCGACTGGTTAGCGTGCATGCTGCTAGGATTCTGAGGAATTTGTGCACCTACAATGGCTCGAACTGTTTCCACCAGCTAAAGGGGATTACAAATGCAGTACCTACAGTAAGTTCTTCCTTGGCACATTACCTACCTGTAATTTTATTCTGCACTAACAAATGTTACGTACGAGTAATGTTTTCTTGTCGAACAATCTGATATATTAGATTGCCAAATCGACAATCTGACAATATAACATGTCAGACTGTGACAACAGGTCTGCACTAAAAACTCATTTCTTATGCATTTGGCTTTGATTGCAGGTGCTTCGTGCAATTACTTCAGAAGAACACAAACTGCAGGAAGCAATGGTAGGACTAGCTGCGCCAGTTCTAGCATTCTTGTCTCCCGAAGAATCAAGCCTCATGTTTAAGAAAGCCGAAATTACTGAGGCAGAAGTGGCTAATGAACTAGTTCAGATCCTGAAGAGGTACAGGCATCCACCAATCAAAGTTCCAAGAATAAGGAGGTTTGCCATAGAACTGGCAATCTGGATGATGAGAAACAAACCGGAAAATGTTCAGATTTTCAGGACTTTGGAGATGGAAAAGGAGCTGGATTTTGTGCTGGACACAACCGCAGAGCTCGAAAGCTTCAGCATTTTCTCTGGTACCGTAGGAATGAGCCGGCACAGCACGACGATCCATTCATTGGTAGAGACTGCATTGGGGTTGCTAGCTGAAGGGTGAAATAATGCAGAATAATGCAGTACATCACCAAATTCAATACATATGTGGGAATCCAATAATCTTGAAGTTAATCACTTCACGTAACACATAATTAAATTCTTTTATTTTTTGGATAAAGCTTCTTGTACTGTAATCTGTAGATGTGATTATATTATACCATCAACGTTCAAATTTCTACTTAATTGAGGAAGTTGTTGCCTTCTATCACGAGATTATCACTTAATTAAGAACATTCAACTCTTTGCACCTGAGGTCTCGAGTTCGATTCTGATTCCGCTTCTGCTTCCCCAACTATCACTTGTTTAAAATTAGACATGGCACATGTGATAGGAAGATATATTGAAAAATAATTTCCCATATCAGAACACCAAGAACAACAAAACAATATATTCATTTGTGTTGTGTACACTGAATAAGAATCTGGAACCAGAAGAAACCAT